AACAGGCACAGAGATGGGGATGAGAAAACCACTCAGTCTAAACTTGGTTGACTTACTACTTCTGTGTGGTTTGGGGTACGTTAAAAAAAAGATTTATTTATGTATTTGAAAGTTGGAGCTGCAGAAAGAGAGATTTTTGTCGGGTGGTTCACTCCCCAGATGTCCACGATGGCCAGGCTGGAGCCAGGAGCCAGGAGCCTCCTCAGGGTCTCCCATGTGGGTGACAGGAGCCCAAGCACCTGAGCCATCTTCTGTTGCTTTGCCCAGGCTGTTAGCAGGGAGTTGGAGCAGAAGGGACGTGAACCAGTGCCCATAGGAGGTGCTGGGGCCTCAGGCAGCAGCTTGACAACCAGTGATGCCCAACACCAGCCCTGGAATACATTTTTTTTTAAAGCAGAAAACTTAGAAGGAAGTGGTATTGTCGCTGCCTTCTTGAATGTAGTAAGCTGCACATGCCTGCATAGAGAAGTTTCTGATGATGGAAGGACATAAAGCTTTGAGGGAGTGAGGCCTGAGGACTGTGTTAGATCCCAGTCACCAGCTGTGATGGGGAAAGGGTTTGCAGCAATAACCACGGCAGGATGCTGCTGACATCTTTGTGGAACTGTGAGAATAGAAGTGGAGAAAAGCCAGGGGGCAGCTATTAGGCACAGGCGCTGGCCTTGACCAAGTACTCAAAGTTAAATGCTGTTCCAGGATTTTTTATTTTCTACATAACAAGCTAGGGACTTAGACTGTGGGGTTCCCTTCTATGAAAAAATGGCCAGAAATAAATTAATTCTTCCTCCCTGTCCGTATCTTTTCTCCTCTTTACATCTCTCTTCCTTGTACAGAGAAGCGTACACCTCCAATTAGTTTGAAAACTCTCTAACTTCGTCTCCCAACAGGATTAGACCTGCTCAGAGTAACTAGTGTTTTGTATCTGATAAATAACAGGATTACAGCAATAACCGCTGTCAGCATTTTTCTCATTTAAACAAATAAAGCTGACAAATGATGAAGTTCTGTGCTGCTCCGTTATGTTTAGTACATGCAGAGCAATTATTCATCTGCTGCCAACATTAGTCTATCTACAACTAAACCATCCAGCAGTGTAGAAAGCTTATTAGCATATCAGCACCATAGTCATATTTTTATATTCTGTAAGATTCTACTCCATAACAAAGGCTGATGGTTATAATTTGCACAATAATTTAAAGGGCTGGACTTTTCCATGCTGATTAGAGTTATGCAAGTTATTGGGTGTGATGCTATTCTTATTTATGAGATGACATCTTTTATTTGCCTGGCGTCTGTGCCCCTGTAGCATCTTCTATGAACAAGATAGCTGCTTGCATAGAAGTCGAGAGGTGTCTCTACAGGCAGTGCTGTGGGATGAACATCAGTGGAGCAGGAGCTGGAAGGGTTTCCGTAAAGAGAATTGCTTTCTTTGGCTCTTTCTCGTGTGTGGATGTATGTCATGCATAAGATGGGTGGGTGGGTGGGTGGATGGAGAGATAGATGCTGATACACATATAGAACATACCTTCTATATTACACACACAGATGCAGGGCTAGGGAGACTCCTAGGTAGGGACAGATAGGACAGGTCTCCAGAGATCAGAAAGATATTGAGCTTCCCCCTTCTTCTTCCTCATTTCCAGGAACTAGAATTTCTCACCCACACCCAGATGCAACCAATTACAGTCCCTTTGTGCCTGAGTTCCTTCAACCCAGACCCCTTTCCATACCCGTGCTCAATACCCTGCACTAATCCTTGCATATACTCTTACACATGCACAACATATGTAAACGTGTGTGCATAGGTGCGTTCCATGTATGTATCACTTAAAGAGGGAAGATTTGAGAAAGAATGTGCTATATGTTAAGAATTTTGTCTTACTGATCAGGCATTTCTTGTTATGGTAGGGGAATGTATAATGGCTACAAAGTATCTGATTTTCCAACTCTGAGTTTTAAATATTCTTTTTTCTTTTTTAAGATTGATGGATTTATTTGCAAGAGTTAGAGGGGGAGAGACAGAGATATAGAGATGGTCCCAGCAGCTAGGGTTGGGTCAAACCAAAACCAGAAGCTGGGAGCTTCATCTGAGTCTCCCACATGGGCGGCAGGGACCATCTTCCACAGCTTTTCCCAGACCATTAGCAGGGAACTGAGTTGGAAGTGGAGCAACTGGGACAAGAACTGGGGCCCATTTGGGAAGCCACCATCACAGATGGCAGCTTTACCCACTGAGACACAATGCTGGCCCCATGCGGCATTCTTATGAATGGAGAACATGAGAAAAATACAAGTGTGCTGGAAGACATTTTAACCTGTCAAGCTCATGGGTTGTGTCTTTGAGACCCTGCCCCCGAAGGGGAAGAGTATTTTGCATGCTCCTGGTCCTGTGACGGGGGACATCTGCACATGACAGGTGCTCCACCTGCTAGGTGGATGCACTGACAGGGTGTTCTGGCTCCTCCTTTTGACTCCTCGAAGTAGAATCATCTAGCACATGCTGCTTACGGAGGAGACGAGGTCTTCTCCACAGCCTCCCTCCTGTCCGCACCTGGTCGCCTTTCCTTTCTAGCATAGGTGCTCCGCTCAGTCTTCCTGCTGTCCTAACAAACCCCAGACCTTTTCTTAACAAAATCTTGCTTCGTCTTCCCTTTCGGTAATGCTCTCTCCTCTCCTGCCACGTGTGCATCTCCTCTAAGCGCAAGGAAATGAAAGGAGCAGCAACCGTACAAACGGCAACATCAGCCCTCAGGCAGCCTTCCTCTTTTCCATGAAGGAGGCAGCGCTCGCCTCCCTGCCAGGGAAAGCGTGCCGCCTTAGCTGTGAGTTGTCAGCCGTGACCAAGATGATTCTCTGCTTGTGGGTACCGCAGATTGTACGTGGTGATTTTGGTGGCCGTGGCTACCTCTCATCCCGCGCTATACATAACGCATTATTGACTGGTAGTTGGAAATGCTTCCCCACCCTGACTGATCGTGCGCTCCCATTTGTCATTTGTCCTTAAAGTCTGCCACCAGCCCAGATGTGATATTCCAGCGCCTCCACCAAGACTCTTTAGTTCATTTTGATTATATTGGTGCTTGTGCCCCCTGAACTGGTTTTGAATGTAAAAGAATCAGTATAAATAGGAACTTGATTTTTCTCCAGATATTCCAAGTGCTGATTTTACTTTCCCTAATGAAGTATAAGTTCTGAAAATACAGGCTCAGAGTTGAATTGTGGAGGGTCTGGTTTGGGTTCACAGAGCAGAGCCAAGTTCAAACACCTAACCTTCCATTGCCAAACTCTCTGACCATGGTCTAGGGACTTAACCTCTCAAAAGCATAGTTCTCTTGTGTGCAAACTCAGGGGACAGTGGCTCAGGCTGTGGGCTGTATTGTAGAGCTGTAACAAGTGATTCAGTTCAAAGCTTATGATGTTAGGCAAGTAAGCAGAGTTCAAGAAGCCTCACTACTTCTTCTATCCCACTGCCTACCCTGGAGCAGGGCACAGCTTCAAGGAGCATCTGCCAGGTTGAAGGCAGTGCTGGCTGTGAAAGCTCTTGACCCGTTTGTGATGAGGCGACTGATCTGACTCTTGGGGACAGTGACTCTTTCCTCCCTGCTACTCCATGTAACATGACTGCTCTTCCAGAAAAAGGCTGTCTTCCATCAGAAGTATGGAGGAGTCTTGCACACCCAGTTAGAAATGCCAAGTATATTTTCCAGATGTTGGAAGGAGAGTGCAAAATAATTTTTTTGACAGGCAGAGTGGACATTGAGAGAGACAGAGAGAAAGGTCTTCCTTTTCCGTTAGTTCACCCTCCAACGGCCCCTGTGGCCGGCGCACCGCGCTGATCCGAAGCCAGGAGCCAGGTGCTTCTCCTGGTCTCCCATGCAGGTGCAGGGCCCAAGCACTTGGGCCATCCTCCACTGCACTCCCTGGCCATAGCAGAGAGCTGGCCTGGAAGAGGGGCAACCGGGACAGAATCCGGCGCCCCAACTGGGACTAGAACCCAGGGTGCCGGTGCCGCAGGCAGAGGATTAGCCTGCTGAGCCGTGGCACTGGCCTAAAATAATTTTTTTAAAAAAATTATAAGATTGAGGTGAGGCAAGTGTTTGGCCTAGTGCTTAAGAAACATCGGAGTCCATGGGTACCCGGCTGTGCTCCTGACCAGCTTCCAACTAAGGCACACCCTGGGCGGCAATGGTGATAGTTCATGTACTTGGATCCTTGCCACCCAACCCAGGGAGACCTGGATCCAGTTCCCAGCTTCCAGCTTTGTTCTGGTTCTGTCCCAGCCTCTGATGGCATTTGCAGAGCGAGCCAGGGAAAGGGAGCTTGCTAGATTTCTGTCTCTCCAAAAAGATAAAGCTTTAGTGTTTCTGTCTCAGTTCACAGGTCTAGCCTTAGCCCTGCCTTCCCTAAAAGTCTGTCTTCTGCTTCCACCAATGAAATGGGCACCTTCCTGCATTCGTATCCTGGACTCAGTTCAACTGGTCTGCTCCCAGGGATGCCCACTGTTTCCTTTGGACCGCACTGACTTTGTTGTCCTCAGTCCTTGGAGCAGCTGCTTGGCTCTTTGTTGGACCCTCAGGCTGCACGCCCTGTCCTGTACACATTCACTCTTGTCTGTCTTCCACTGCCCCTCTTCAGCTTCCAAACCCAGTCCTGTGGGTCTTTAGAGCACCTTGGGAGTGTATGTCTGCCTTTGGTGTGCAGGAGCTTCCTCACTGCAGATTTTCACAGACAGAGAAAGAGCCCCAGGGCAGGGTACCGTGAGAACTCCTCAACTGCATTGGAGCCACATCAGTCGGTAATACTTTATACTTATGCTTTCCAGCTTTGCTCAGTTGTTGTAATTTAATTAGAAGTAATATATCCTTGTCAAACTAATTAAACCCATGCCTTGATTAAACAAAGAATTGTTTAATTAAAAAGAAAAGGTTTGGCTAACCTTAACTTTCTGTTGGAGGGATACAGTGGCCTCGGCTGATTTTTTTCTGTCTGTCTGTCTTCAGGCTTGAAGGTTCGGGAGGTGTTCATCAACGTCACCAGACAGCAGGTGGAGGACTTCCACGGGCCGGAGGACTACTGGTGCCAGTGTGTGGCCTGGAGCCACCTGGGCACCTCCAAGAGCAGGAAGGCTTCTGTGCGCATAGCCTGTAAGTAGGGTGGGCGTGACCCGGTCCTGTGCGAACAGGGACAGGAGTTAAGTAAAGCTGAACTTGGAGATGCCAGGAGCCTCTGTAGAATAAAGACTTGGGGAACTGCACAAAACCACGAGAACTGTTTCTCCCTCTACTAAATTTACTCTCCTTGGTGATTTCCTCCAGAGCAGAATCAGCCCATCAGCTTGACTCCGATTCTGCCTGGACTGTCAGTGTGCAGGTGTCTCAGCCATGCAGGAGAAACTGTTCTTTAGGCAGGTGCCCACACACGTGGACGCTGCTGCTCCCCATCAGTGACTGAGTTCAGAGGGCACTAATGGGAGACTCTGGGTGATGACTGCTGACTGTGCATCCCAGCAAATCCGCACAAATAAGGCATCAGAGACGTTAAGGGATTTTTATAGCTGACTGTTAAATCTCGTTCTCCCCCAAGCTCTTTATTTTATTTTATTTTTTTTTAAATGTATTTATTTATTTGAAAGAGTCACAGAGAGAGATAGAGGAGAGACAGAGAGAGAGGTCTTCCACCTGCTGGTTTACTCTACAAATGGCCACAACAGCCGGGGCTGGGCCAGGCCAGAGCCAGGAGCTTCATCCAGGTGTTCCACATGGATGAAGGAACCCAAGCACTTGGGCCATCTTTTGCTGCTTTCCTGGGTACATTAGCAGGGAGCTGGATTGGAAGTGGAGCAGTTGGGACTGGAACTGGCACCTATATGGGATGCCAGCACTGCAGGTGGAGACCCAAACTTCTATGCCATGTTGCAGCTGGATTTTAAAACTACATCCATTTGATCTAAGTAGAACTAAAACACACACAAGGAAAGTAAAACAAAGGAAATAAAAAAGTGAATTTATAGAAGGGTCCAAGATTTCTTTATCATACTTCACAGCATAAATGGGGAAAAAAAGATTTATCAAAACCTCAACTTTTAAAATGCCTTCAGACTACTCACCCTGCTTATCCCAACCTCATGGAGTCCCAAAAAACTTTCTTTGTGTGCCCAGGAGTGTAAAAACCTCTCCAGAAAGAAACAGGGCGACAGAGGGCGGAGATGGTTATTGTTGTTTTACTCAAAAGCTGCCTTTTGAGAGTGCCATGAAGAATACAGGACAAGAGGGATTTATTTGCGGACTCAAGGAGTTCTTCATCAGATGTTGATGGCTGGGGGATTCAGAAGAGAAGTGCATTACAGTTTCCAGAGACATTTGTGTTTCTGGGGAAAGGAAATTGTCCTCTTAAAATATGCATTTCACCTTGACTGTACTTGCAGTCTGGGGTTTGTGTCCTGGATGTTGCCTGGGCCATCATAGGTGGGGAGAAGGATTCCCTGGTAAACTGTGCTCTTGATCTGAGCACCGTGGGGAATATTTTTCTCTGTGGTTGCTTCGTTAATTTTAGCCAACAACTATTCTATGACTTTCATGTAGCAGGTCAGATGAACAAGGAGATGTGTTTGCATTTGCTTTCCTCTTAATAAGGCCGGGTCTCTGCCCCCTGCGTGACCACGGTCAGGCCAGCCTGGGTATTTGACCCTAATCAAGACAAAGCAGTATCTGCCTGGTTCTCTGCCGTGAGAGGCCGAGCAGTGGAGGGATTCCAACCCAGGTTCCCTCCACTGCGTTCTCAGCTTCAGCTTTCCCGTTCATTTTCTTCCTTCTCTTCCCTAAGGCCCACATAACCTGTTCTCTGAACTAGCTTCTCGCTGGTCTGTGTATCTCCTGTCTCTCTCATGTCCATTCCTCAGGGTCTGGTGCCTGCAAGAAACCACCAGAAGCCTCCGTAAGGGAGAAAAATCTTTGTTTTTCCTTACAAAGTTTGATAAGGAATGAGTCAAGCTCACCCTTATCAGTCTCCCATAACCTGTGACCACACACACTGCTGTTCATCCTCCTCCGTGCCCTGTGGTTCTGCCCGTGGCCCCTGCTCTCCGACAGGTGCCTTTGCTCCTGCCCTCTCCAGTTTCACACACAGTTGGCATGGTTGTCAAGCAACCAGACTCAGGAGCCCTATCAGTTCCTGGTGTCAGCTCCACTTCTTTGCAGTTTTGTGATAGTTAAGGATTTATTTCATCTCCCTGTGTCTTACTGTCTTCATCGATAAAAGGGTGCCTACCTCAAGAATGATTGTAAGAGTGAGAGGTATTGATAACTGCGCGGTGTTTAAAACTATGCCTGGCACAGAGTTAGTGCGATTGATCTGTGTATGATTGATGTATTTGTCTCCCATAACACCAGCATCGTTCACCTGTGGGTGTGTTCATCCCTACTGAAGCTAATGGAATTGAATTAAAATTTTAGTGTCTTAGTAATTTTTCTGCAGAGTATGGGTATATGGACTCTTGATAAAAACCCATTCTAAGTCAGCCTCACATATCCAACTCTCCCAGGCATGATAGAATCAAAGAATTTTAAAAGTAGAGAACATTTTTCGATTACTTCCTACCTTTTTAGAGCCATAAAATACTTTCAAAGAAATAATCGCACAAATCTCTTTAGAGAATAGAAGACTCATTTTGGCATTCTTGTGTGGGATATGCACATATAGATGTGATTTTCAAGAGGAAAAAATCAGAATCTCATTAAAATCTGTGCTATGCAGTTCAGTTAATGTAATTTCTAATAATGTTTGCAATATATTTTTAATTTCTTCCCATGTAGCAAGTGAGACATTCCTTAATTTATTTAAAATTATTTATGCAAGCCCAGACATGATTTGTCATTAAATATCGCATTTGACTTTGGGACCAGTATATATTAAAATGTAAATTGAAATTTAACTAGTGTAAGACATCCCAAAGGCAGGGTCCACTGCCTTTAGGATGTTGTGGGGAATTTTTTCAATTGGCATGCAGGAAAAAAAAAATCTCGGAAAAAATTGCTTTCATGTTTTATTGGGATAAGAGATTTCTAGTTGCTATTTGTAAAAACTTTCCAGCAAATAACACATGGCACATGAGGATATTCTTTATTCCCAATAAATGAAAAGCTAAATTGGATGTAATTGTCACTGTGTTTCTTCTTTTTAAGATTGGTTTTTGAAGTACTACAGATGCCTTAATATGCTAAATGAGGATTTTGATAGATGAATGTAGCTTATGAATCCAATGACAGTCATCTAGGGGGAGCTTTGCAAAATTACTATCATTTTTATATTATTCATTAAATTGTTGTAGTTCAACATTACAGCTCCTTATGCTTTCTATATTTAATCTATGATCCATTAAGAGCTGAAATGTAAAATAGCAGTGAGCAGGGGCCAGCGTTGTGGCGTAATGGGTTAAGCTGCCACCTGCAATGTCAGCATCCCATATGGCCACCAGTCTCAGCTGCTCCACTTCCAATCCAGCTCCCTGCTAATGTACCTGGGAAAGTAGCAGAAGATGACCCAGGTCCCTGCATCCACGTGGGAAACCTGGATGAAGCTCCTGGCTTCTGCCTGGCCCAGCTATGGCCATTACTGCCATTTGGGGAGTGAACCAGCTGATGGAAGATCTTTCTTTCCCTCCCTCTCTTCCTCACTGCTGCCTTTCAAACATATAAAAATAAATCTTAAAACAAAAAAATTGTAGTAGGCAAAACCATCATGGCAGCTGAGACATTCAGCTGAGAAAGTATTTGCTAGCATGTCTTGATGTGGTCATATGGGCTAAACTCTACCAAAATACCAGGAAGCATAGGAAATGGGAGTACTTAGAGACAACCCGATTTTAAAAGGATACAATATGACACCATTATTCTATTTATTTTTTATGACTCATATATTTTTTGTGACTCATGTATTGGAAATGGACCCACATGGGTTATTTGTTAAATAAAAGCCAGGATCCTGGCTTCCACTGATAATTCTGATTCAGTCTCTAGCAGAAGGGCCCAGAAAAGCCCAGAAAGCTGTGTTTGCATCAAGATAACCAGGTAGTCCTCTGGGATATCTTGCCCAGGGATTTATGTTTCTTAAACATTAGCGTGCATGCAGATCAACTGCCGTTCTATCAAAATGCTGATGATTAAGTTAAGATGATTCAGTAGATCTGCTCTAAGGTCTGAGATTTTAGATTTGTGGTGAGCTTCCTGGATGCTGTTGTAGCCAGCTGGTGTATGGACCATAATTTTGAGTAACCAGACTCTGAAATACCTTTATGCAGAACCATTTGGGAAATGTTGACTTAGTCCACTCACCTAGCTTCTTTTTTTTTTTTTTAAAGATTTATTTATTTATTTGAAAGTCAGAGTTACACAGAGAGAGGAAAGGCAGAGAGAGAGAGGGAGATTGAGAGATCTTCCATTAGCAGGTTCACTCCCCAGATGGCTGCAACAGCTGGAACTGCGCCAATCGGAAGCCAGGAGCCAGGAGCTTCTTCTGGGTCTCCCATGTGGGCGCAGGGGCCCAAGGACTTGGACCATCCTCCACTGCTTTCCCAGGCCACAGCAGAGAGCTGAACAGGAAGTAGAGCAGCTGGGTCTCGAACCAGCGCCCATATGGGATGCCGGCACTTCAGGCCAGGGCATTAACCCACTGCACCACAGCGCCGGTCCCTCACCTAGCTTCCTAACACCAGGGTGAGTTACTTACTTGACCTAAGGTGCTCTCGGTTGATTACAGACATGGGATCAGATCATGGATTTCTCACCCTACCCCACCCCAGCATGGCCTTCAGTGTTCATGCTACAAGGCCATGTTGTCTCTACCTTGTTAAATAGTGGCTTGAGAGCCATCATGTGAAGGTTCATGAGCATTTTGTGCATTTGAGTGGGTTGTTTGAGGACAGCATCGATTCCTCTCCTTTCTTCTTCTGTTTATGAGTACGTTGCATTCCTTCGCACAGTTAAGTTTCAGTGTGTGGCGCGTGCACACACACACACACACACACGTGCATGCTCCACTTTAGGAGCCAAAGTGCCTGTCAAGCTGTTGTTTTTTTCCATAATGATTCCACACTGTGTCAGGGAGATACCGGCTGCCCATCCAACTGCCTGGGGCTGGAAATAGCCGA